TTTCCGTTTTCAATGCTTAGTCCTAAATAAATCTATGACTAGAGAAAGAAATGATCGTAGATTGTTTGGTGATAAAGTGTTAAGACATTAAGACGTTAAGTGAGAGCTAATGTATATTGAAAATATTATCATTTTTGCAACTTTGGTACTCCAGTAGAATTTAATCTTAGTTTAAAAAATATGATGACATAGGTACGTTATTAATATAGCCTGCACCGCTACACATATTCATCACCATTTTATTAGAGGATATACAATCGCCACCTACTGCATAGTTTAGTCTAATTTTTGAGTCAGAGTAACCTGAGTCTAGACTTTTACTTAAACTTAAGTTTTTCAGTAACTTTTGAATGTGTCCTGTCACTTAAAATTAAGTTTTCAAGTAATTTTGAATATGGTATAACTTAAATAAGTTTAAAAATTAACTTTTGAGTGTGTCCTGAACAGTACAAACTGACTGCAATAGCTGTCTCATTTTGTTTTTCAGCACCTAAAAGATATATCAGTTAGGATCAAATACTCTCACTTTACCGCGATATTCATTCATCTATCCATCCTATTTATTCGTCAGGTCGTAGCACTTGATAAATTTCTTCAGCTGAAATTTTCTCCAGTATTCCACTATTCTAGCTCTGTAATAATATTTTAATTTGCAAGTATATAATACACAAGGTGGGTAGAATCTCAGAATCCTTGCAATTTATGTTGTATATGACCAATATCAATATTTACTTGTCCTTCGATATATCGCCAGTCACTTTTTAAAGAAATAATAAAGTTGTTATAAATTATGTTAAATTGGGTACATCTGTCGTATTTGTTGGATTATTTGCTTCATCGTCTGGAGATGACACCGAGGATTCAGGTAACAGTTGTCTTATCTGAAAGTATTGAAGAAAAGAAATTTATTTTACTAATTTAGTTTGTTTGTTTCATAAATGCTGCATTATGACGTTGCCGTCCATAGGGTCCAATTTGACTAATTTTGCGAAAATGTCGAATCCCAGTGTGCTTCGTATCTATTTATTGAATTGTTATTTTATAAAATTATACGGTGTAGTTGTCAAAAATGTGTCATAGAATATCTCTAATCTATATAATACATTTTCATCTTGTTAAATTTTATATGAACCAACTTTTAGCGAATCTAATTAGTTAATCTAGTTTGTGGTACAAGGGTAGTGTACACTGCTTGTTTGTGTGTTTTTCAAACACTAAGTTCATGATTTTTTAATAGGCAAATCTTCATACCAAATATATGCACTAAGTACTTGATTCACCCAATGGTGATGACGTCAAAGCAGTTTTGCTGGGCTTGACACAATTCATCGAATTTGAAATTGATACAGCATGTGTAAGTTTTAATAGTGTGTGTGTGTGTGTTTTGTGTGTGTGCATGTGTGTGTATGTGTGTGTGTGTTATTGTTCCAGGATAAAGCCCAATTGGGAGTGGATTTAGCGAAGACATTGAAAGCAGTCTCGTGAACGAGATATTTATTGATAACGTAATTGAATGACGAATGAATCTGTCACATTACTAATTCGCATCAAGTATAACAATGGGTTGAAAAGAATGATGCCACAGCGGGTATAAAAGAATGGTATCGTTAAAAACTGGAGCTAACGAGAACACGCAACTTCAAACCAAACAAGAATAAAAAATGGAACTTTTTAGCAAATATGATTGATATATAGATCGATCTTTCATCACTCATAATCAAAGTACGGGAATTATACACAACTATGAACAAGGCAAGACTATACCACCAAAAGTGATCAAGTATAAGATTTGTGCAAAAATATTAATAAAATTTCCTCTACAAGTAAGATGTATTTATTATTGATTTTTCACTCTCATAACGATACTAAATAATTGATTTCACTCGTATAGTGATATTGACTATTGATTTAAAAGATGGAGCATATTTGTCATGACAACCAATTTACGATCACGCCGTATTTCCGGTTCCACAGTTTTCATTGAATGTTCAAGGAGCCATCACGCATGATGATCGACCCCTCCCTATCTGCCGAAGGATCCCTAAAGAACCTTTCTATTCCTTCCAGACCCGTTGGTCGCGAGGCTTTGGTTCCTCTCTGCGAGTAAACAACTACTATTCTCCAAGCCAGCGACACAATCGACAACAGCAGCGTACGGGTCACGCGAAACCCCTCGGTAAAAGTTTAGAATAAATATTGAAATATTGGAATATATAAAATAATTTTTTCACAAGAAACGGATAGATAAAATGAATTCAATTTTATATTTCACTACCTCTTCAGTTAAAGATTGCCTCCGTAAAGGTTATTTGTGTACGTCTTTTTCAACACAACTAATATCTCTATTGGTTAGACAGAGTCCGCTATAAGATATTTGGCCTTACAAGCATGTTGCTTGTTCACGGTATTGGTGTGTGTCTTTTCCAATACACAGCCGATACCTGGTTTTTGGATATATAGACACCACTGTATGATATATTGCCTTGCAGGCTTTGTGTTAGTTCAGAAAGCTATCCGTACAGTGGACAGCTTTCCAGATAAACCTCGTTTTATTGTGATAAAACAACGATAGTGTGATCTACAAGTACCCTTGTTGTTGTTCAAAGTTCACAGCTAGACAACTTAAAGTAATCGGGCTTTTTATTGCAAACAATTTCCTCGTGCATCTTTGAGTCAACAGAATTAGTATTTTGAAAAAGCTCAATACGAAAATAAATCACTTTCGGACCAGTGCCGGATTTACCATTGTGCTTAGAAGTGCTTAAGCACAGGGCACCTGCTGAGCCAAAACCCCGCACCCATATTTCTCAAAACTTTGACAACCACTAAGAGACTTTATAATGGTAAAAAAGGTGACATCCACTTCGCAGCAGCGCGCATGTATGTTTTTTATTTGTTTGTTTGTTTTGTTTTGTTGTTGTTTTATTTTAAAATGAATTTTACGATCATAGTAAGAGATTCTTATCATAAATATTGGCGACCACTAAACCCTAAACCCGCATACATATTTTTCTAAAAACAATCGACGCCCATTAGCCTAGCGTGGGAGGAGCTTTTTCGGAAATTTTGAACTCCTGCTTAACGGGTTTGGTGTTTGAAGTGGAGTATTAAGTCATATTTACTGAAAGCTATCCAGTCTTTCAATTCTGTCAGAAATGAATAAAATATAATTATTCTTCCCTTAAAACAATAAACAAGTTGCCGTTTATTTCTCAAAAATATGCTTCAGCGTTCTACAGTATTCTAAGAACCCTTTTACTTGTTTTTACTTTTTGTTGTTGTTATTGTTGTTGATTTCGTGTTCGAATTTGACAATACTGTCTAATGAGCTGAAGGGTTATACATACTGATTGAATTTTAAACTTAGAGCTTTCTAACTATAGACTTGAGAAATAATGTTTTGATGTCAAAGTTTATTGGTTATTTGCTTGAGTATTATTGGTTTAAAATCGTTTTGTGGAATTGTTTTACAAAATGGAAGCATTATGGCGTGTGGTTTCTAGTAAAAGGTTGATGTTATTATTAGAAGTTAAAGAATCTGAATTCACTACAATCTGCATTTGAATGTTGGAAAGTAGAGGGTTAATTGCTAAGTGTTTCTAGTAATAATTAAAATATATATAAAGCGGTACAGTCGGGCGTGATCTTACTTTCCTTTTATTGCTCTTCGTGCAGAAAAGCAAAACCGGTATTTTTTTATTTTATTTTATTTTATTTTTTCTGTTTCTTTAAATTCTAATAATAATTTTTATTTTCTTAAGGTTTTTTAAAAATTAGATATAACATATAAAGAGGTAAATCAAAAATAGTGGGAAACCCAGGTTCGATGATTTTTTTTGCGCTACTTTTGAAAAGTAAAATCATGTGTAACCTTTATTGTGGTTTTTCCATGCGTTAGCGATAATTTTATTTTTCTAAGTTATAACTTATCTCTTCTGCTTTTATCTTTATTTTAATTAAATTAGAAAATATAACAAATAAATAGAAAACATAACATGGCAGGATATACGGTCTCAGTGACCATTTTCTTGCTTTGCTCCAAAGCAGAATAAGGTAAAGCCTCTACCGTGTCTATTCTTATTTTCAACGTCTTATATTACTGCTTTTGTTGAGTGTTTTTAATTTATTGTTTCACTTGTTTTACCTGAATATATCTTTACTGTAGTTGAAATTGTGGCACGCTGACGTGAGCATAAGCTTTAGCATGTAACCAAATAAAACTACTTTTGTTTAAATAGTGAAAAATAGTAAAATTTTCAGAACATATATATTTTCCCCTTTTTTAACAATTTATTATTTATCTCTGTATCCACGGTGGCATAGTAGGCCAATGTGGCTTATGATCTATACATAGAAGAAAAAGATGGATATGTGGGTCATTTGGCGGAAAATTGAGTCATAATAGTGTTTATGAATTTAAATTTGTCTTATAGGGAGTTGGATGCTGGTTATAGAAACCACGAAAAAGAAATTACTACACTCCCGAGGTGTCTCCGTTCATTACTACTAAGTTCGCGTGAAAGACTATTCCGTGCATTCGTGTACACATAATATTAAATCCGACGCTATTTTATCTAGTCCTAAAATTACATGCTGTTTTGCGACCTTTATATAGTAATGGTGTAGCAGTCTCCTGGTGGCATAGCGTATTTTCATCGAGATTTACGATTAAATCTATCTATCTATCTATCTATCTATCTATCTATCTATCTATCTATCTATCTATCTATCTATCTATCTATCTATCTATCTATCTGAAAACTTCTCTGTTCTTTATTGTTACATAAAATAATGGAAAATGAATCCATTCAAAACAAATTATCTGTAAACCCGTCTCTAACATTGCAACAGGTAAGGTCGCTAAATGGGAAGGTTCCGCTTCGTGATTAAAAACCGTCTGCAATATTTGAACACGGTAAGGTCGCTAGATGGCAAGGTGCTGCTTAATGCTGAGCGCCTAGCGAGGCACCTGTTAGTGCCATTCGTATAGGTCTTTGGTACGATTCGGCTGTGATTTGAACCCGCGACCATCCGCATCCGAGGGGACGCTCTAACCACTAAACCACCGGAACGGTCCTCTGTAACATTGAAGTAGGCATAGTCGCTAAATTTCACGGTGCCGCTTCATTGTATGGGCCCCCAAGTGGCTTAGTGGTCTAAGGCGCTGACCGTTACGGATCACTGCCATCTCACCTCTGTCTGCGTGAGTTCGAGTCCAGACTTGGCTAACGTCGGTCAGTGAGACAGCCTGTCAGTAGCTTCTCGTGGGTAGATGGTTCTTCCTGAAGTTTTCCAGGTTTCTTCCTCCACCATTAATACTGGCCGCTTGTATAGCCTATCGTGTGCTGAAACATGGCGTTAAATGCTATAACAATAACAACAACATTGTTATGTAAAGATCGGATACTGCTTCCGATTTTTCGAAACGACGTACTGCAGAGTAGGTTAATGGTATCTATGTTTATCTACAAACATGAGTGTCGCTGCCATTTATGAACTATATGTGACATTTGGGCCAAGTATATTGAAATCTGAATCTTATTTGCATCAAATATAGTTTATGGTTACAGTGTGAATTTAGTCCGATTATAGCTTCGTAAATTTGCGTTCTTGTAATCCCATTTCAGGCTACATTTTTAGAGTAAGATTCCATTAAAGAGTTTTTATTGCAAAAGGTGACAGAACTGGAGAAGAACCAACAAGAATGCAGCAGCTATCAAAGTAAAATGCTATTAGAATTTAATAATGTAAAGGACAAGGTCAAGCAATCAAAGAGACGAATATTATATATCGAAGCTATTATTTATGACATCAACCCTATGAATACACTGAAAATTTTAACGTGTCTATGGAGAAAGACTCAGCAGATAAACCAGCGAGTGACAGTGTTACGACCCTGTAGTTGAAGTGTGTGTGTGTGTGTGTGTGTGTGTATGTGTGTGTGTGTTAAGGAATGAATTCTGTATAAATCTTTTATTTCATTTTTATTTCATTAAATTCTAATTATTAACATGCTTATATTATCATGTGTCTAATATGTTGTTAAAAATATCATGTTTACTTATGTCGTAAATGTGACTCATGTGAGCATGTGCTGTGTATGATGACAAATTCGTTACAAGTAAACATTCAGGAATATCTATGAAAACGATTGGCTGATACTTGGTCAGGCTTTTCTAATGCCCAGATGTATTGCGAAATTACGTGTTCATCGTTCACATGTAATTAAAACGACGTATTAGCTTCGTCTATATACTTATGTATTTTTAAGAAAGTTCATTCAGAGTCACAGTCAGAACAAGAACAGAGTCGTAGCCTATTATAACATCTTAGAGTTACACAGCTTCTATTACCTTAAAAAAAGGTATTTTTGTGCTAGAAGTTTGCTGTTCGTATGTTTACATAGAAAAGAAATGTGTTTTGTTAGTGGAGTTAATTGTACTTCGTTTTTCTAAAACATTGTTTTCCTGGATAACAATATTACTGGTTTGGACAAAGACATTTTCTGAAAATATTCTAAATTGGAACAGAACAATACAAACTGTGCTTCATCGTGTAAATTTTTTATTTTTGTGTGAGCCTTCCTCTGACGTCATCATTAGCCATCTTGGACCGGAAATGAACTTAAGACTGTTTATTTAGAACTGTTCACAGGACTTATGTTTTATATCTTTAGAACAAACAAATTGGATAGTCTCCGTAAATCGTAAGTCTTGTTTTACATATTTACATTTTTCATGTTTTCTAGGAAAATAAATTATTTTCGTTAAAATTTACAAAGCTTGTTGTCTTCTCTTTCTTTGTGTTACAATGAACGAGCCGATTCGTAACAAGTGTTCCCAAAACTTTTACACAAGAGAAAATTATCAGCCGTACACCAGAACCTAAACGGATGCATTAACATACACCAGGTAAGCACTAAAAAAAGGTTAGACAGTCTGTTTAGACGAGATTTTCTCTCCTGAAAAAATCCAACGTTTATTTCATTTATAAAGGAGAATAAAAGAGTAGAATTTGCTTTTCTTTGTTTTGTAATTATTTATGGTACGTTGTCGTGTGATTTAAAGACATACTGTATGCTTGAAACCCATTGTATCGACGAAGAGATAATGAAAGAAGACAAACAACTGTTTTTACCATTGGAACATTTTCTAGTATGATAGGTTTTAACGCCAAATTTAACTCTTTTTTGAGGGGGTGACACAATTTAATTGCTTACTGCAAAAAAACATACAACATTTGCCTATTCCTATGTCTTCTATAATTCCAAGGATTTTAAGAAGAGAAGATGCAAAGACTGCAACGAAGCATATTGGACTTGTGCAACTAAAGTAAATAGCAGGGCAACAGACCACGAGACTGAAATAGTCCTTTTGGATACCGTTCTGCACAACGATGGCTATGACTACAACAAGCAATCTGGAGTTTTTACTTGTCTCCTTTCAGATACATATGTCTTCGCAGTAAATAACGCATGTTTATACCTTAAGTGTACATCTAATGGTAGATGGAAAAATTAAAAGCAACAGCTATGCTGATGGAATAGATTCATGGGATCGAGGCAGTGTTTCAAGCATATTGCGATGTGAAGCTGGACATAACGTTTGGATCAGTGTATACCACCGAACATACATATATGGTGATTGTTACGTCATTCTCCGGTTTCTTCTTTGGGAAGATGAAACAGAAAGTAGCTGATAAAAATAGCAAGTACAATAACAGCAACATAAAGCAAAACATGCCCTGGCAATATTCCAGGTCTATATATTATTCATTTAATAAAAAATTAAAGTCTAATTTCTGGATTCCTTTTATTACTTCCACATCATTTCAAGCTATATTTTTTTCATTTGTCTCTTTTATTTATTGATGTACAATATAAACAAACAAACAAGAAATAATCTTGCATTTGACTCAACATATCTCTTTAGTTTGGAAATTTATGAAAAATGATACCATTTAACACAATTATATTTCTCATAATCGGCATCAACATACATTTAATGACACCAAAAAAGCCCTTATCCTATTTTTATTATCGGAAATACAACCTAAATGCCTAATTCACAGATTGCGTTTAAAACTCATTTTTCATATTATATCGCAGTACAAATGCGCAACCTCTCTCTCTCTCTCTCTCTCTCTCTCTCTCTCTCTCTCTCTCTCTCTCTCTCTCTCTCTCTCTCTCTCTCTCTCTCTCTCTCTCTCTCTCTCTCTCTCTCTCTCTCTCTCTCTCTCTCAGCTCGGAATAATTAGGCATTTACTTGGAGTAAACGTCACGGAGAGAAAGTGTTAGTGAGTTTCCATGATGCCATGGTCAGTGAGTAGTAAATGCAGACCCAATCCGCATAAGTGACCCTGTCGTTATGTAGTACTTAATAAAAATCTAATGGTATACATTGGTTGTTGTGACTGCAGTGGCACATTTACAGTAGGAAACCGGTAAATTACACAAAGGAATAAATGAGAAGGGACTAGGCAGATACCGTTTATGTTACCATGGTGGCAAATATGATGCAGTTGTATTGGCGTGATGTGCCTTGAAACAATAGATTGACTAGCCGAATGTGGCGTAGTTAAAATAGTTCCATTTGTTAAGGGTAGTTGTTGAGTTTCTACGGTGTGAACTGCTGACGTTACGGAAAGTTGATGTAGAGAAACTATGCGCATGCGTTGTTGACGGGTATTTGACAAGTTGTGAATAATTCATTGATTAGACTAAAATTTTTGTATATAATGGACACGTCGGGCTTTCCAACCTACAACTGAAGTTGTATATAAGTTTTTGGAAATTTGTGGTAAACTTAAGAATTATAGCGGGAATCGCGCCAGGGTTTTGACACTGCTCCGTCAAGCAAAGACCACAGACTTGTAACAGTATTATACAAATGTCGATTGATATTTACGAATGTTACTCAGCCCGACGGTACTGATGCTTGTCATTTTTGAAGATGTAATTGATTAACTTAAAACGTCTAATATTTACATTTAAGATATTATTGTCTGGTCCAAAGACGACTTTGTAGCAATAAATCTAGCAGAGGACAATGCAAACGGTAGCATTAGAGACTCTACATAAGCAAATCCTGTTAAATCAAAATCTGGTAAGGGTCCGTTTATTGCAACCCTGGTCATCTCATGTGTAGGATGTCCGAGTCTCTTAAAGTTTTTAGAACATTCTCCATACCCAAGAAAACTCACAAAATAACATGAAGCCATATCAACTGAGATAACATCACTATAATCGTATTTGGTATTCCATAATCCACCGTATCAATATTCTATACAACTTTTCTTGATATCTTCAAGAAATTCTGATCGTGTTGATTTCCATGAATTTTTCTCTTGAGCAAAATGGGCAACAACCTATGGTACAGTAAAAGGTATTCAGTAATTTTCTAAGTATGACATTATCAGAGGTATATTTATGTGCAAGATGTTCCATTTCTTCATGAAGAAATTCTGTACCATAAATATCACCGTTAGGCCGTACAAATTGATCGTAATCATATTCTGAACTTTGAAATAAGCAATTAAACACAGAGTCACTATTACTTATATTTCCGATAAAATCAAATATATTACCATCATAAAACTTAACTTTTCTATCTCTAGGAAGTACCATTACAGCATTACTCTATGCATGTACATTATGATCAATGGTTGTTATAGAGTTTCTATTTTTATATATATTTTGGTTCGTACAATATCTCCCCGTTACTGTTTTTACTGTTATTGGAAATCTTAATAACTTTTCTAGTTCAGCAATATCCTTAATAGATGCACCGGCATCTTTAACTGTTCTTGACATGTATTTAATTTTTTAAAGTTTTAAATCTGTTAAACCATTTCTACATATCGCATTTGTAAAAATGTTCTGTAACACGTTCAGCTACAAAGTTTATTCTTGACAGTCTTAAAGGTTTGAGATCAGAAACGTAAAGTTTTCCATACAGAGAATATATTGCATAGACAACTGCAGTCGCTGGATAACCTTGTTCATAGTACAGCTTATCAATACCAGTAAGTGTTACAGGTTTGGATTTATTATTCAATGAAACGATATTATTTC